CAACAACCAAGACACACCAACTTCACAGCACAATTGGACATTCAGGTACGGTAACATTGTGTTAATAATCCAATGCAGGAAATCCAGTTATTAAATTATTAAATTGAGCGGATTGAGTCATCTCACATTTGGTTCAGATGTGTTAAGTTAAAAGAGTTTACTTTTCTTTGACGTTTGTTTTATTTACAGGTAGTTGGTAACAAAAAGTCATGAAACTTTTTCAGTGTAAGTCATTGTTGTGACTTTCTTCTTCCTTCTTTTTCTTTGTTGATTCGCCCTTAACACAGTTTGTTCAGCCCTCGGGGATTTAACATGTAATATTGAGCTACACAAATAAAACTGGCTTGACTTAACAAATAGTTTTGAAATGAGGAAATGCTGCAGACTTGAGTGATCTTGATCTAAATTTGTTACAGATGTTTGCAAAATTATTTTATAATGGAATAGTTACCATGATGTCCTCTGATTTGAAAGTGGCAAAAAGTAACATTTCATTTGACTGGAAAATCTAATGTAACTGTGCCTGAATATGGAAAAGTGTTGCTAACATGTTTTGACTTTGTCATATTTCAATTGCAGTTAAACGCCCAGCACCTCCTCGTAAGATATTTAAAATATGATACAAAATTCAAACCTTAAGACAAAACAAGAGGCTTTTACACACCAGACGCGTAAAATCCGTGAAAATGTTTCCTGGGTTACAAATATTTTTCGGACTCATATGTTCTTTATGCAGCTGTTCAAACTGACTATTTGAGTTGCAGAACTCCTGGAAGTTTCGAAAAAAACAAAAGTTTCAGTAATTGAACTTTGAGCGAGGTGAGACTGATTAGAGGCAGAGCAACATTACTGAAATCCCGAATAAATCGCAGCATTTTTTTCAGACCAAGAGATTCTTCCGATTTTATTTTCAAATAAAAAAGATCTGACCAGCTAACCCACTGCATTTGGCAGCTCTTAACTCACATGGCACTGCTTCATTTTTAGTTTTCACAGTGTGTTTATTGAGGAGGAATTGTCCTCAAAAACGCAACGCGTTCAGTGTGTAACAGCCTTAACACATAATGATGTGTGACTAATTTAAAACGTTGCCCTTCCAGTGTGACTCATACAATTTACATTTTCACTTTACAGTGTTAGAGGTAGACGAGAGGAGCATACCGTGGGGGTGAGTATTAAGGGTGTGGTTCCTTAGAGAGGTGTACCAGAATTATTAAAAAATAACTCTTTAATTTCACCAACTCTGTGATAATCCCAGAGTCACAATTTTTATATCATGAAATTGATCTGTTTCAACCTGTTATAACAGCAGTCTGGCGAGGAAGGAGCGGCTAGCAGGTCCACCGAGCATGTTGTTGGGGGAGGTCGAGGCCACTCAGTTAAATCGAACAACAGACCTTTATTTGACATTAGCAATACAAGACATACAGACTAGGTCTCCACGGCTCTACTCCGCCCGTACATACATGTGGGGGGATGGGTAGGCATTGGTGCCAGCCTGTTACGTCAGAATAGTTTCTCTCGGAACAGACACACTAGCAGCATGAAACGTCTGCCACTAGACTCACACACACTAGGAGACTCCCACAACTACTACAATAATAATAATTTTCATTCTTTTACATGGTGATGCAGAAATGCTCATCTTATTTTTTTTACAATTATTATAGATGTTTTAAGGCTGTAAAACCCCTCACTACACACTTTATACACTTTTCTCAGACAAGCATGAACATTTTCACACTTTTCATTCTTGCTTAAATACTCTCAAAGTTCAAATCTTCGTAGAAAAACTAAGTCCAGTATTATAGAATAAAAACAAAGATCAAACCCTGTTTTCAGGTCCAGAACATGGTCATAGTTGCGAGAGAATTCAACATTAATGAATCAACGGTACGAAAGTAGAGGAAGCAAGAAGAATGAGTTGAGTAAAGGTTGACTTATCTGTTTTGTTTCGCTTAATGCACCTTATAATTGCCTTATGGTCCAAAAAATACATTAACTTCTACCTTCCTTTGTCCAGAAGTCCAACTTTTTGTGCGATGGTAGCATCTTCCTCTGCCTTTTGGGTGCTACCACAGGTGCCTTTGACAGTGCAAAACATTTAGTTGACAACGTTGGGGAGAAAACTTACAAACATACAGTACAGCACTTCAGAGTCACACTGCTAGCAATCGAAGATTTATGTAAATTTGGCAAGCTGAACGCATTCTGTACTGGGACGAGACACGGGACGAGATTGATTGACAATGGTCTAAGCCAATTAGTTCACAGAACACAATACGTTGTAAACAAACAAACAAACAAACAAACAAAAAAGCATGCAAAATTGCACAAAAATGAAAAGGTGAACTGCGTTATAGCAAGGTACCACTGTAGTAGAAAACAGATTAGAACACTGATTGGTTTATTTGGATATTTATCACAGAGAATCCATCAATAAAATTAATAACGCTTTGATGTGGCTTATGTGATTTAGACATTTGCCATTAGATGTTAATGTCAGAACAGAATGCAGCAGATAATGTGTAAATGTATCAATACAAAGATTTAATCCTCCACTGAAGAACTGTGCTAGCAGAGAAATGTGTTGAATTATGATTTCAAAAGATTAATCATTTTCATTATAGATCAACAGCACCTTTTTCTCTAATGTCTCCAACAGTCAGGTCAACGAGCTAGATGACATGTCAAATGCCCCTTTTATATAGCATCACACACTGAGACAAAAAGCCTGAGTTATCAATAATAACCACCATCACGATGCTAATTTTCTCTGACTCTGGTTTTTGGTGTTATGAGACAAGACAATTCAAACCTGACTATGTCAGTCTTGCTTGGTTGTACACCCCTCAAGTGTTTTGTTTGTTTTATTATTTTGTGTGTGTTCATAACACTGTTGTGTAAACTGTAAGTGTAAACTGAATGCTGTTGTAATTTTCTAAATGAACAGTGAAAGAGAGCGAGACCTGCAGCTTGTCAGAGATTACAAGCCTCACAAAGATGTCCAGCATCTCAGAATTATGCTTTATGGACCACCAGGTGCTGGAAAGTCCAGCTTCATCAACTCTGTGGACAGTGCTTTAAGAGGCAAAATAGCAACTCGAGCTTTGGCAGACGCAACCTCTGGTGACAGTTTCACTAAAGCAGTATGTATGAGGATGTATCTCTTCTTATCATAGTTGCTGTTAGATGCTTGCATGAAAACACTCTCGTTTCCTTTGAGGTTTTCTAGGACTACAGGAGTGCATTGCAGTGGTAACTGCTTTGTTCACAATAAACTATAAAAAGAGTGAAAAAAGTCGGTACAGCTAGTGTGTAAATTATTCTGAAAACTGTTTAGGGTCTTTAGTATATGACATTATAAACACTATTTTTTACATTCACAGTACAGGACATATAAAATTTACAGAGAAAATCCAAGAACCTTTTATCCTTTTGCATTCAATGACACCATGGGGCTTGAGAAAAGCACTGAGAGAGGAATTCTTGTGGAAGACATCAAACTTGCCATGAGTGGACATGTAAAAGAAGATTACAGGGTATGACATCTTCATTCAGACACAATCTGTGAAACTGTATCGTGAAAAAAGGTTTAAGTGATTTTCCGTTTTTCCCAGTTCAACCCCAAACATCACTTGTCTGTAACGGATCCTGACTACAACAGTTCTCCTACTTTAGATGACAAAGTCCACATTCTGGTTTTAGTCATTCCAGCTGACACAGTGAGCATAATCAGTGATGACACTCGGAGGAAGATGAAAGAAGTCAGAGTAGCAGCTCGTGACAAAGGTGAGAGCAGATGTTGTTCTAAGAGCATTTATTATGTCTTAATTTCAAATAGTAGAAAAACATGAGATCAAATGTTTACATTGGTTTCTGTATTGGCAGGGATCCCACAAATAGCTGTTATCACTAAAATTGATGAAGCCTGTCCTGAAGTCAAAAAAGACATAAAGAACGCCTACAGGAGCAAGCACTTGAATAAGCTGGTATGTTCAAAGAAGTAACTTTCATGAGCTTGTAGACAGTTTACACATGAATGTAACATCTCTAATTCAGCTGTACATTTCAGTATGTTTTTACAGAAACCTCAGCTGGAATCAGTACAAATAATTGTAAATTATTTGTAAAAAGTAATTTCTAATTATGTCACTGCTGCAACAATACGATTTCAGGTTTTTTTTAAAATGTAATATTGTTTAAACTTAGATGGACACAGTGAACGTGGACCTGGGTATTCCACTGAACTGCATCTTCCTCGTGAAGAACTACCACAAAGAAACTGACACGAATGACAACATGGATTCACTGATACTGTGTGCACTGAAAAAGATCATTGACTATGGAGAGGACTACCTGAATGACCAGAATGATCCAGATGATGTGTGAGGGGGATAGAAAAGGGTGATTTTGCTTCACCAGCATTACAATCACAGCCGCACAAACAGTTAATTTCACCAGAAACTTTATAGAACTTATCTTTGTCTTGTTCTTATTTTATTAAACTTTTTGTTCTTTTGCAAATTAAATCCAAATAAACTTCAAAGGAAACTAATACATGTACTTTTTGTTATTTACTGTATGAAAAATGACAGCTATATACCTGTAACCTGTTGCCTCCTGTGTAACTCAAATAACTGATTTCAAGTCTCGATGTAAGACTGTCCTCTCTGAGTAAGTGATTTCTTGTTTCCAGAACTGTAATTAAATCTGTTCACTTAAAATAATGACGACTGAACAGAGCGTGTGTGTTTATTTGTTCATTGTATTTATTATATTGAAATAACATTGATAACGTTGGCAGTTAATATTTTAATCAGAATCAGAATACTTTATTGATCCCTAGGGGAAATTATTTTTTGTTATAGCGCTTCATTATAAACAAACATTAACAAAGACAGACAATACACTAACTAAGAATAGCACAATATATACATGCATATATATATATATATATACATAAAAGTCACTTATTAATAAATAGCTGAAAAAGGAAGAACATGTGCAAGAAGGGTGTAGCTATTGCGGTAAACAGTGTGTTAAGTGGAGGAGTTTTACAGAGAGATGGCCACAGGTAGGAATGATTTTCTGTGTCGTTCAGTGGTGCTTTTCGGTAATCTCAGTCTCTCACTGAACGTGCTCCTGTGACTGACCAGCATGTCATGGAATGTGTAGGAGGTGTTATCCAACATTGTCTTTATCTTGGACAACATCCGCGGACAACATCCGCCTCTCCGACACCACCTTTAGGACTTCTCCCATCTTTCTAACTCCAATGTGTTCAGGTAAATAAGTTCCCAAATAAGTAATCAGAATAAATAGCACATAAATAGTTATTTTCATTTCATCATTTTCATTTTTAGGGTATGCTTTTAAGTCCCATTTATTTTATAAAGCCATCATTGTGAAGCATGTCAGCCATGTAATAAAGCTTTGACCTGTCCACGTTGTTCCCTGCTGTCCACCCTATTACAGCTGGGATAGCACCAGCACCCCCATGACCCTGAGCTGGATAAGCGGAAGAGGATGTATGGATAGACATTTAATGACTTAGGTTATCAATCCATACATGCATCCAGGTAGATATACAAGTCCAAATAATGAGTTGATGTTATTGTGTATTGTGTTATTGTGTAGAGGTAATGTTTACCAGAGAGTGTTATCTGTAGTAATTACTGATGTAATATCTACACCTGTTTTTGCAAACATATGTCAACCTACTGTTAGAGTGCCTCTTGAGTATTCGTTGGTCCACTAGAGGACAGTGTTGAGCCTCAAA